AGGAGGAGGAGGAGGGAGGAGGAGGAGGAGGAGGAGGCGAGGAGGAGGAGGAGGAGGAGGAGGAGGAGGAGGAGGAGGAGGAGGAGGAGGAGGAGGAGGAGGAGGAGGAGGAGGAGGAGGAGGAGGAGGAGGAGGAGGAGGAGGAGGAGGAGGAGGAGGAGGAGGAGGAGGAGGAGGAGGAGGAGGAGGAGGAGGAGGAGGAGGAGGAGGAGGAGGTGAGGAGGAGCGAGGAGTGAGGAGTGAGGAGTGAGGAGGAGGAGGAGGGGGAGGGGAGGGAGGGAGGGAGGGAGGGAGGGAGGGAGGGAGGGAGGGAGGGAGGGAGGGAGGGAGGGAGGGAGGGAGGGAGGAGGAGGGAGGAGGAGGAGGAGGAGGAGGAGGAGGAGGAGGAGGAGGAGGAGGAGAGGAGGAGGAAGAGGAGGAGGAGGAGGAGGAGGAGGAGGAGGAGGAGGAGGGGAGGAGGTGGAGGAGGGAGGAGGAGGAGGAGGAGGAGGAGGAGGAGGAGGAGGAGGAGGACGAGGAGGAGGAGGAGGAGGAGGAGGAGGAGGAGGAGGAGGAGGAGGAGGACGAGGAGGAGGAGGAGGAGGAGGAGGAGGAGGAGGAGGAGGAGGAGGAGGAGGGAGGAGGAGGAGGAGGAGAAGAAGAAGAAGAAATCCTGGGCAAATTCAAGACGCATCAACGACGTTGCGGTACAGCCTTCCTCCAAGTCCCCTTTTCATAGGTCGACACACGATGTTGCTATCATTGCGAAAAGTGTCTCCATGGAACACAACCGTCTGAGAGTCCTTCGTCGCGCCAGAACGCAATTCTAGACGCTTCGCGTAACCTCACCAGTGTGCAGGTGTACCTTTGCACTGCGTCACATCATGTCGTTGATCTTTCGCGTGCGATCGCATTCTTCCGCAGTTGGTTTGAGGGTTGACTCCGGTTGTCATTGACTTCAGGCGTGCCTTTTCAGCCGCGTGGATGCGTACTCTGAAGCTGCGACGGTTTGCTGGCGCTGTCAGAGTCCCTTCTCCCTGCTGGACGACGTCAGCTCTCTTGCCTACGGTCTCGCTCATACCCGACAGACACCCTGGGCTACTGACGCTCTTCTTGCACGGAGTCAGAACCCCACTACCCTGTGATCGTCGGACCGACACGATCCTTGACTGGGGGTGTGCGTCGCGCCATTTTGGCAGCGTCCTCCCTGCTTCCTTGGTGGCTGTTTCCCTTCAGACTCCCTGGGCTGCAGCTTGCACCGCCGCCTGATCCGCGGCCCCCGCGCGCGCTCGGCGAATTCGTCTCGGCCGCAGCCCGACCGTGACCCGCCGCCGCCGGCGCTTCCGCCTGCGGCTGTAAAAAAAGTAACCTCACCAGCCCATCCAGAAACGATGCCCAAAGGAGTTGCCTCGATCAGGGAAGTGGGCAGCAGGCAGAGGAAGGGTCCCCCAGTGGAGGCCTTTTGAAGCGTCTTGGGGCCCTCCTGGCGGTCCGGTGGCCTCTTGGAGCGTCTTGGGTGCTTCAGGGAGTTTCTTGGGGCCTCTTGGAGGTCTCTCGGGAGCCTCTTGGAGGCCTCCTGGGCGCCTCTTGGGGTCCTTTTGAAGCGCTCTTGGGAGCCTTGTGAGCGCTCTTGGGGCCATCTTGGAGGACATCGATCAAACAAGAGGGGAGTTTCAGTTAGCAATGCCCCTCCAAGAGGCCAAAATGCGGCCAAAACCTTGATACAACCAGTGACTTTGGCTTCCTCGCCGAGGTCGTTTTGGACGCCTTGACACCTCGCGACCGGCCCCGTGCAGGTCCAGGGGAGGGGGTAGGGGGAGGGGTAAGCCCCTTCCTGAAGGGAAGATGGGCAGATGGAAGACAACACACCCTAGACCACCTACGCCCTAAAGGGCGGGTGGGATTCCTGGGACTCTAGCGCCGCGAATCAACGTGACTGTTGCGTTTCTACAATTTTGAGTCGTGCCAGAATGCCGTGCTTGGGACGTTAGCACCGCGAATTAACGCGACTGTTTCGTCCTGGCAGTCCTGAACTGCGGGAGAATACCATCTCTGGGAATCCAAGCGTGCGAAGCCTTGAAACGGTTGCGCACTTTCAAGACGAATGCGCGTGGCGCTAAGACGAGAACCACATTTGGCATGGATTTGCATTGCATGTTCAAAGCTGTTGCCAACTCTTGGAAATAATGTGCGCGTTGATACGAATGTGCGAGGCGCTAAAGGCGATATTCACGTTTTGAAAACGATCCGCCCTCCCTCCGTGAAGCTGTTGCAAATGTTGATAATCATGTGCATGGCTCTAGGGGGAAAGCCACATTTTGCAAACGACCCGTCCTCCATCCGTGAAGTTGTTGCATGCTGTTGAAACGAGTGTGCGCGGCATTAAGGCGAGATCCACATTTTGAAGAATGTTTGTCCTCAATCCGTGACATTGTTGCGAACGGGTGAAACTATTGTGCGCGCCGCTCAGGCAAGAGCCACATTTTTAAAAAACGTCCCGCCTTCCATCTGTGAAGCTGTTGCACTCGTCTGAAAGACTGTGTGCGGCGCTAAGGCGAGAGCCACATGTTGAACATACTTTGTACTCATCCATGATATTGTTGCACGCGTTTGAAATACACGTGCGCGGGGCTTGGGCAATACACCGTATTTTTAAAAGAGCAGCCTTCTGTCTTTGAACCATCTGTATTTTTTGAATACGACTGAGCGCGGCGCTAAGGCGAAAGGGACATGTTGGGAACGCCTCCCCTCCATCCTCGAAGCTGTTGCACACTTTTACGACGAGCTTGCGCCTCTCGACGCCGAGATCCACACTTTGAGATTGCCCCCGTCCATCCTTGGCGCTGCTGCGGATCTCAAGCTTTGACATCATACAGTCGGGGCCCTGAAGAAGGAACCCTTTTCGTTGGAGAGGGGCTCGGCGTTCCTTGATTGTTCTGCAGTTTGCCTTCAGTTTTCCTGAGGTTTTCCATTGGAAACGAAGTTCAACGTATGGGAGAAGGGGGCACCGTTCCTTATTTAGGGTTCCTTAGGTTAACGCCCCGACAGTACGTGGCGCACGAGTCTCAAGCGAACCGCTCGGCCCGCCCTGCCAACGCGTCTGCGGTGCTGGCACTCTGAAGGGGTGCCTGCTTCCCCTCGCGGTTGGGTGCTCTCGTTCGTCGCCGCGCTGCTGTCAGTGCCGCCTCGTGGGCGCCTCGTGGGCGCCCCGCGCTTGGGGGGCACACGCTGGTCGTCGAGAGGAGGTATTTTTGGATCCCCAGATCCCCATCTGCTTCAGGCGCCTTCCTGCTTTGAGACTCGGCGCGCCATCTGCTGTGTTCTGCTGTTCTCTGGGAGGGCCTGGACCCAATCTGCTTCATCCGCCTTCCTGCTTCATGTTCTTTCCTGCTTCTTCCGACTGACGTGTATGCCGACGTTCTGCCACGTTGCCGCACGCGTCGCCTCGTGAGCGTTTTGGGGGCGCCACGCGCCTGGGGGGCTAATGCCGAGGTCTCGCCGCGCTGCCGCCCTTGAGCCGCCGCTGTGGGCGCGTCGTGGGCGGCCCTCTCAGCTTGCGCGGCTTGCACCGCGTAACTGAGAGCACATGGCTCACGCCGCATAGCTTAGGCATTACAGCTTGCTTTCCGTAGTCTGCACCCCATGTATACATGGGGTGCGCTGCTGCTGCTGCTCCTGCTGCTGCTGCTCCTCCTCCTCCTGGCGAGGCGGGGTTACCCATACCGTTCCCTTTATCCCCTTTCCCCATTTTTGGGCCTCCCCGGAGGCCCTCGTCGCCACCGCTAGAACCGCCTCGAAATCCTGGTCAGAACGCACCCTGGGAGAGGTCCAGGGAGTAGCGGTATCGGAGATGAACTACACATGTAGTTAATCTCCGGTCTTCACCTCGTGACTTGAGCGACATAGCTTGCACCGCACAGCCTCCAACTCCATAGCTCACGCCGCATGAGCTTGCAGTACATACATATCACGTGGCTTAGACCGCGCAGCTAGCACCTCCACTGTTTGGTGACCACGCCGCCTTCCTTCTCCTGTCCTTCGCGCACATGGATTGTGGGTGCGGGGGGTGAAGCGCGAGCCACCCCTGGGGAAACCAAAAGGCACCGATTCTGCTACTCCCTGGACCTCTCCCAGGGTGCGTTCTGACCAGGATTTCGAGGCGGTTCTAGCGGTGGCGACGAGGGTCTCCTGGGAAGCCCAAAAATGGGGAAAGGGGATCAAGGGAACGGTATGGGTAACCTCGCCTCGGCAGGAGGAGGAACAGCAGCAGCAGCAGCAGCACTGACGCCTCGCGCCTTGTGTTTCTGCGGCGCATGCCCACGAGAGAGGTCAGTATCGTTCAACCGATCCCCATCCCCATCCCCATCCCCATCCCCATCCCCACCATCCCACCACTCCAGCTGGGCATATGCGCCTCGAAGCTCGAAGGGAACAGCCCACATCCCCATCAAGGGAGGTACATCGGCCAGTCGTGCCCAGGCCACGCCCGTGGGGATAGGAATCGAGTAAACGATAATCGAGAGGAGAGCACAGCAAGTGTTCGTTTTTTATGAATTGTTTTGCCGATCGGTGCGGGCCCTCGCACCTCCCTCCCCCCCCTCCACGGAGTAGATCTTGGCTGTTTGGGGCGTCTGCTTCGAGCGGGGGGAGTCTCCCCCAGAGGACGCCCGCTTCCAAACAGCCGCATTAAGCAGAGGTCCCGAGCCCGAACCCCCCCTTTCCCCTTCCGCCACACGTTATGTTGCTCCCATCGTACTTAAGGACCACATTTCAAGAATAATTTCGAGCACCCGGAAAAGTGTCGAAAGAGTGTCGAAGCAGTGTCGGACGAGTGTCTCCCAGGGCCCGACACGTGAGAGCCCTCGAGCGTCGTTATTTTTCTGGGGGCTCGGAATTCTTTTCTGGTGGTCAGAACTGAAGCAGGTTGGAACATCATGAGCGACACGTCGAAACGCCGAACGAGAAAGCGGTCGCTCCCCGCCCCCCGCGGCACCTCTCCGGTGCCGCCTCGGCCCGCGCAGTCCTGGACGCCATCCTCGTGGCGGACATGGTGCTGTCCCGCGGCCTAGCTCCCGGGGAGGAGGCGGCAGGAGCGACGCACGCCGCGGCGGGGGCTCGCCCACGACCACCGCCTGGGGGCTCGATCTTCGCGGACCTCCGCTTGATGGGCCCGTTTTCCACCACCACCTTCATAAGTTGGAGGGGGAGGGGGTCCTCCTCCTCCTCCTCCTCCTCCTCCTCCTCCTCCTCCTCCTCCTCCTCCACCACCTCCTTCCCCCTCCAACTTATGGTGGTGGTGGTGGTGGTGGAAAACAGGCCCATCACCACTTGCCGAGTGCGTTCCACTACTCGCAAAGTGCCTACTCGCAAACGTCCGAAAAGCACCTGTCTGCTTTGACGTGATTTACGGTAGATCCTGGCGGGGGATCCGGGCCATTTGCGAGCAGTGACTTTTTGGGATTAGGGGAACGCGCTCGTCGACCCGCAGGCGGTGGATATGGATCTATTCGGCCCCCCGGGGGCCAAAAGCTGTCCACTGCCACCGCCGGCTGTGGCACCAGGGCGTCGGTTCCCAGGCGGTGGACATGGCTAGAAGTCCCCGCCTCGCAGACGTGTGGCGCCAGCGACTGGAGGGCGTGGCGGCATCGGTGGTGGGGTGGGGCCCGCGGCCCGGCTCTGGGGAGGGTCGGCGAAGGAGAAGGTGCCCCCTGCCGCCACCCTCCGCCCGTCTTCCCCTCTTCAAGAGGGGAAGACGCGATGGCGACGCACTCACCAAATTACACCCTTGCGGGGGCGACGTGCACGTTCGAGAGAACGGCTGGCCTTCTCTGCGGCCGACGCACGGGCGGTGCACAGGCGACGAATGCGCGACGCTCCCCTTGTCGCGATGGGGGGGGGGGTCAGCACGCCGGTCGTCTTACTGGGCCTTAACACCCTCTTGGGGCCTTCTGGGAGGCCCTCGTCGCCACTCAGAAGGCGCCCCGGGAGAGGTCTGGGGAGCAGCGGTATCGGTACCTTTTGGTTTCCCCATGGGGAGGGGGACGCATGGTGACACTGAGGGGAGGGCCTGGTGATATCGGTGGGGGGAACGAGAGAGGAGGACAAGCTGGGTGCGCTCGCGTCATGTCTGACGTCTCACCCCTCCCTCCCATCCCATAACAATGAGTGCAACCCTTCTCTGCTTGCACAGTCGGATCTCGGAGAGGACAGCGGTCCAAGGGGTACGCGATGCATGGCATGGCATAGCATTGCGTAGTCCGACATTGTTTACCATAGCGTTGCAGCGAAATGCGTGGCATCGCAGTTGGATGCGTGATAGTACTGCGTGACATACCCTTACATGTATGGCACTGCGTAACCCCGCGCTGCATATCACTCCGTTGTAGAGCAAGGCGTGACACCGCATACTAGCTGCACATAAACATAACATTGAATGGCACATCATGGCTGCGTGAACGGTGCAGCTGGCGGATCATGCCGGTTGACCGGCAATTTGGACACGAGGCCAATGCTACAGCGGGAGAACCATTCAGAGGGACCGACAACGCGGAAATGAGGCCACCGCTGCAGCGGGAACCCTTCGGAGGGGCCCCAACACGCGGAAACTAGAGCACCGGCGCAGCGTGAATGCAAGAACCGAAAAAGGCGAAAATGAGACCAGCACAGCAGCGGGAGCACGATCTTGAAGGTCCAGAGGCGCGGAAATGAGGCCACCGCTACAGCGGGAACGCGATTTTGAAGGACCCGAAGCGCAGAAATGAGACTAGCACCGCAGCGGGAGCATGATTCTTAAGGACCCCTTGCGATGCGATGGGAACAACGTTTCACGGAAACAATGTTTGAACTCCAGCGTGTGAGAAACAATTCGCGGAGGGCCGGGACATCTGTCGGACAGAGTCAGGGGAGAGGGGGGCGGTTGTCACAATATGTAATTGTAGAGGGGGGCGAGGAGGATGAAGGGGAGGACAAGAGGAGGGAGGAATTGGGGTGAAATGAAGAGTTGGTGCGGAGAGGACCGTCAGGAGGACAAGCGGAAGAACGGGGAAGACGGAGAAGGAGGAACAGTTTATAGTCAAGACGTTGAGATAAGTACCCCTTTCGGCTCATGAGGGGCTCTTCTTTTCGGGCCGCTCTTTTTGGTTGAGGTTGGGAAGCCGGTTCGCTGCCGAGGCAACGGGAGGAGGAAGAGGGGAGGAGGGGTCGCCCAGGCAGTTCTTCGTCGCGTTCCCCGACTACAAGAACCGACATGGCCGCATGGTTACCTCGCAGAAGGTCATCGTGTGGCAGTGCTCCACCAGGGTTTTTCAGAGACGGAACAGTGTTCTTCACTCATCAGACTGATGGAGTTTTAGCGTCAGGTCGAAGCCACTTCGGTGCTGCTGTGCGCCGTACAGCATCATGACAATTCTGAGAGGCAGGAGGGATGATGATCAGGAGGAGGAGCAGAAAGAGTAGGAGGAGGAGGAGGAGGAGGAGGAGGAGGAGGAGGAGGAGGAGGAGGAGGAGAAGGACCAGTGTAAACCCTAGACTCATCAGCGATGTTGGAACACACTTTCCCTCCAAGCTTCCACTTCACAGGCCCCTACAAGGGATCATTTCCTTGCGGGAATTGCTCCGTTGGGGGACACCAGTCTCAGATAGGGAGCTCCACCGAAGGCGCCAGTGGCTGCGTTCGCATGCCGCCACCCCCTCCACTTTGGCACACCCCTCACACGCTTCGTGGCCCCATAGGGACCTCCACCGACGGCCCCAGTGGATGCGTTCGCATGCCGCCCACCCCTTCGCTTTGGCACGCCCCTCACAGGTTTCGTGGCCCCATAGGGGGCCTCCACCGACGGCCCCAGTGGCTGCGTTCGCATGCCGCCCCCCTCCCCTTCACTCTGGCACGCCCCTCACACGCTTCGTGGCCCCATAGGGGACATCCACCGAAGGCCCCAGTGGCTGCGTTCGCATGCCGCCCCCTTCCCCTTCACTCTGGCGCGCCCCTCACAGGTTTCGTGGCCCCATAGGGGGCATCCACCGAAGGCCCCAGTGGCTGCGTTCGCATGCCGCCCCCTCCCCTTCACTCTGGCACGCCCCTCGCAGGTTTCGTGGCCCCATAGGGGGGCATCCACCGACGGCCCCAGTGGCTGCGTTCGCATGCCGCCCCCCTCCCCTTCACTCTGGCACGCCCCTCACACGCTTCGTGGCCCCATAGGGGGCATCCACCGAAGGCCCCAGTGGCTGCGTTCGCATGCCGCCTCCCTCCCCTTCACTCTGGCACGCCCCTCACAGGTTTCGTGGCCCCGTAGGGGGCATCCACCGAAGGCCCCAGTGGCTGCGTTCGCATGCCGCCCCCCCCCTTCACTCTGGCACGCCCCTCACAGGTTTCGTGGCCCCATAGGGACCTCCACGACCACTTCGGCACGCCCCTCACACGCTTCGTGGCCCCATGGGAAGCTCCACCGAAGGCCCCAGTGGCTGCGTTCGCATGCCGCCCCCTCCCTTCACTCTGGCACGCCCCTCACAGGTTTCGGGCCCCATAGGGGACATCCACCGAAGGCCCCAGTGGCTGCGTTCGCATGCCGCCCCCCCCCCCTTCACTCTGGCACGCCCCTCACACGCTTCGTGGCCCCATAGGGGACATCCACTGAAGGCCCTTGAGACGTGCGCCCGCATGTCTTTCCCGCTCCCCCCGGGCGCCTGTCGGCCGCAACGGGCTGCATCAGCATACAGCACGTTCCGTGTGACCTCCACGCCCCCCCGGCGGTTGGCCCCCGCGGGCCACGCTCGCACGTCGGCCCCGCCCCGTCTCGGCGCTCCCTGCACGCGTTTCGTGGCCCCGTGGGGAGCTCCACCAGAGGCGGTTCTCACGCCAGCGGTATTCACAACCGCGTATGGCTGGGTCGTTCGCCCAGACAATTCACCCCCCCCGCCATCTCTCCGTGAAGCTGCTGAAGTTTTATGCTCAAGGTTCATCGAAGACGCCCAAGGCGAATCACCGCCGCCCCCTGCCCTTGTGGAAGCGACTATGTGGCCGACAGCTGGGTTAGAGCTTGGCCAAGTTATCGAGCCAACTGTTTCCCGAATCGGTTTGCAAAGCCTTCGGGGAACGCGTGGGGGGGCAAGAGTGTTGAAGTCGTCCATGTGTCCGAGCGTTGTGGCAAGAGCTATGCCAAGCTATTGGAACATGTGTTTCCGCAACCGTTGTGGAAACCCTTCGGGGAACATTTGGGGGAGGATGGCGGGGAAGATCAGGAGGAGGAGGAAAAGGCGGAGGAGGGGGCATCTTGGGAGCCTCTGGGGGCACTCCTGGGGCCTCCTTGGAGCTTCCTGGCAGTCTCTTGGAGGCATCTTGGGGGCCTCCTTGGGCCTCTTGGGGGGGGGGCCTTTGGGTGCTTCTCGGGGCCCTCGTTGGCCGTCTCAGGGCATTCCTGGCCCGTCCGACGCCGTCGCAAGCCGTCTTGGGGGCCTGTCTGGGCCGACATGAACTCTCTTGGGGTGCTCCAGGGCCGTCTTGGATGCCATCTTGGGCGTCTTGGATGCATCTTGGGCCGTCTGAGGGCCTTCTTGGCGTCTTGGGGGCCCTCTTGGGCCCTTCTGGGGCCGCCCTGGAGGCCTCTTGGGCGATCTTTCGGGGCTCTTGTGCCGGACCGTCTGGAGGCCTCTTGGGGGCCTCCTGGGCCGTCTTGGGCCATCTTAGGGCCATCTTGGGCCGTCTTGGTGGCTCCTGGCCCGTCTGACGCCGTTGGACGCTGTCTTGGGGACCTCTCTGGGCCGACTGGGGGCGCTCCTGGGGTGCTCCAGGGCCGTCTTGGAGGCCGTCTTGGGCGTCTTGGACGCCTCTTGGGCCGTCTTAGGGTCTTCCTGGGGCGGTCTTGGGGGCCCTCTTGGGCCGTCCCGGGGGCATCTTGGAGGCCTCTTGGGCGATCTTGGGGCGATCTTTGGGGGCTCTTGGGTCGTCTCGGGCCGTCGGAAGGCCGAAAAGAAGCAAATGCCAAAATCCTTCCAAAACCTGAGGAACATATGTGATTTTGGCCTCTTCGGGCCTTCCTGGATGCCCGCTTGGAGGCCTCTCGGGCCGTCTTGGAGGCCTCTTGGGGGCCTTTTGAGCCCTCTTGGAATGTTTTGGAGGCTTCTTGGGCGGACTTGGAGGCATCTTGAGCCTTTTTGGGCCGTCTTGGAGGCATCTTGGAGGCATCTTGGGCCATCTTGGAGGCCATTTTGGGCCTACGTGGCCATCTTGGAGGCCATCTTGGACCCGTCTGGATGAGGAACAATTTTTGCAACCGGGCCTTGTGCGGGCCGTCTTCGGGCCATCTTGGAGGCCTCGTGGACGATCTTGGGGCGACCTTGGGGGCCTCTTGGGCCGTCTTGGGCCGACGGAAAGCCCAAAACGCGCAAATTCAAAAAATCCATAAAACAACCTAAGGAAAATCAATGATTTTGGCCTCTTCGGGCCTTCCTGGAGGACCTCTTGGAGGCCTTTTGGGCGCATTGGAGGCCTTTTGGGGGGCTCTTGGCCCATCTTGGAGGTATCTTGAGGCCATCTTGGCCATCTTGGAGGGCATCTTGGCCCGTCTTGGAGGCATCTTGGAGCCATCTTACCCGTCTTGGAGGCCACCTTGGCCGTCTTAGACGCATCTTGGAGGCCGTCTTGGGCAGTCTTGGCCGTCTTGGACGCGACAGGGGGAACCACCCAGGCATTTTCGGCAACATTTCGGGTGGCCGGCGGGACGGGCCGAAGCCCCAGGGGGAGTTCTTTTGGAAAAAGAACCAAAACCGAACCGAAAGGATCTAGCACGCCAGGCACCCCTGTGATGAATTAACAGGGGGCGGCGGATCGAAGACGCCTACGGCGAATCACCGCCGCCCCCTGCCTTTTTGGAAGCGCCTATGTGGCCGAACGTTGAGGCCAGAGCTGCCAAGCTATCGGATCATGTGTGCCCCGAATCGGTTTGGAAAGCCTTCGGGGAACACCTGGGCATCTTGCAGGTCATCTTGGCCGTCTGGAGGCCATTTTGACCCTTTCGGGCCTTCTTGGAGGACGTCTTGGAGGGCTCTTGGGCCGTCTTGGAGGCCATCTTGAGCGTTTTGGAGGCCTCTTGGGCCACCTTGGGGGCCTCTTGGGGCCGTCTTGGGCGATCTTTGGGGGCACTTGGGCCGTCTCGGGCCGTCGGAAGGCCGAACAAAAAGCAAATGCCACAATCCTTCAAACATTGTTGACGCTTCGCGAATCCCCACCAGCCCATTCAGAAACGATGCCCAGAGGAATTGCCTCGATCAGGGAAGCGGGCAGCACACAAAGGAAGGGTCCCCCATTGGAGGCTTCTTGGAGCGTCTTGGGGGCCTCTTGGCGGTCCCGGACGCCTCTTAGAGCGTCTTGGGTGCTTCGGAGAGCTTCGTGGGGCCTCTTGGGGGTCTCTTGGGAGCCTCTTGGAGGCCTCTTGGGCGCCTGTTGGGGCCTCCTGGGGCCTCCTGGACGCCTCTTGGGGCCCTCTTGAAGCGCTCTTGGGAGCCTTGGGAGCGCTCTTGGAGCCCTCTCGGGCCATCTTGGAGCCATCTTAAGGCCTCGGCGGGAAAGACAACAACATGGATTTCCTAGGTTTTGGAAGGATTTTGGCCTCTTCGGGGCCTCCTGGGGGAGCTCTTTGGCCACTTGGAGCCGTTTTGGAGCGGTCTTGGGGCCTCTTGGAGCATCGTGGGCGCCATCTTGAGGCATCTTGGGATATCTTGAGCCATCTTGGAGATCATATTTGGCTCTCCCAGGTGCTCTTGGAGTCATCTGACGCAGTGCCCCTCCCAGGAGGCCAACATGTGGCCAAAGCCTTGGTAAAATCAACGAGTTTGGCATTGTCGCCGAGGTCTCTTGGAGCGTCTTGGGTGCCTCTGGGTGGCCTCTTGGGGACTCTTGGAGGTCTCTTGGGGACCTCTTGGGAGCCTCTTGGGGGCATCCTGGGGGCCTCTTGGGGGCCTCTTGGCCCCCCCTGGCCACCTCTTGGGGCCCCCTTGGGGCACCCTTGGAAGCCTTGGGAGCGCTCTTGGGGCCATCTCGGAGGAGATTGATCATAGGAGGGGGGGTTACGCATTAGGCCCCCCCCCCCAGAAGGCCAAAATGGTGCCAAAACCTTAGTAAAATCAATGATTTTGGCTTCCTCGCCGAGGCCGTTTTGGACGCTCTGACGACTCGCGACCCCCCCGTCCAGGTCCAGGGGAGGGAGGGGGCAGGGGAAGGGGTAAACCCATCCCCGAAGGGGAAGAAGGAGGGGTGGAAGAGGAAACGCTCTAAACCACTGACGCCCAGAGG